ATTCCAAATTTTTTAAGCTAAGGATAAATAAGCACCTATTTTCTCGAGATTCAAGAAGAAAAAAATATAAAAACAATGTCTCCAAATTTTTTGAATAAACTTCAAAAAACTATCAAAGTAACCTCGTTTTACGTTACCTTTAAATATCGTTCGACGATTTGTCCATTCAACCATTTGTTCCTTATTATGTCATACGAACCTTTGTTTTTGAACCTTTTCCTATCCATATGAGACAGTTATGCGATTATAATCAGTTTTGTCCATCATCCTTTTGTCCAACGAACTTTTGTCATAGATTCCCATTTGTTACGTTTGTGACATAAGCCCTTATGAATACTCAGATCATTTTGGGACCTATTTTGGGTTTAAGCACCATTTCATCGCTTTCAAGTTACACTAAACTATCTCTAACTGGATATGTTCCCTAACTCAAATATGTCCTATATCAAATACATAGTTTAATCCTCTTCTTGTAACTTACAAATACAAAATACCATTATAACATCCAGTGATTTCTTAAATCTGAAAAACAAATTTTATAGCAAAGTGAGTGGCAGCAACCTTAGTTTTCAATGCTACTAGGGCGAGTTTCAGGTCATTTAAGCTATTCCAACGTTGTAAGGCTTTTTGTGTGTGTCTCTCAGGCCATTTAGCTGTTAAATTTACTAAAGTAGAACTATTCAAACTATGGTAATGTATTTACCAAATATTGTTTTGAACGTACTAGCCGATAGCAAGACTACTGAGGACACTATCGTTTGTTGTAAAGATGATATGTCGTTCATATAAGCAGATCTGCGCTGAAATCGCCAAGCGTCATCGCAAGGTTCTTCGCGTTAACCGCTATCCGTCATCTGGTTCGCCGTGGCGGTGTCAAGCGTATCTCCGGTGTGATCTACGAGGTGTGCTGAAGGTGTTCCTGGAAAATGAGTCCGTGATGCTGTCACCTACACTGAACACGCCAAGCGTAAGCGGCCATGGATGTCATCTACGCCTTTAAGCGAAAGAGACGCACTCTGTACGGTTTCGGAGGTTAAATCATCACCAACTTTGGCAACAAAACGGGCCTTCTCAGGGCCAATAAGGTTATTACAGTAAAGAGTTGGAATAGAATTTACCTGTGCCTGTTTGTGCATATTCAGAACCACACGCCCCCAACGACCACACAAATTGCTCTCCAGAGTTGTAAAACTCGATTCTAAGTAAATCTGGACGCACGGTTTAATACACCACCGCGCCCCTGGTGGTTGGAACAAAAAACGATTGACAGGCATTTGTTGATGTTTCATTGACGAAGAAATTGGTGAAAAGTTTTTCTCGATTGATCGACCGCATCCTGAAATTACGGATCATGGAACTTGAGAAAAGAAAATTAATTGTGCACAAACATCTAGAGAACCCTTCGTGGTCTGCCTCACAAATAGCAAAAGTGTTAAAAAGTCAACGGTGAGTCTTGTAATCAAACGTTACAAGGATACTCTGAGTGTGGATAGAGCACAGCGCATCTATCATAAAAGTGGCACTAGGGACAAAGAGCTGAGGAGAAAGGTGTTGAGGTACGTGAAAAGCAACTGAGGTGCCTCCATACGTGATTTGGCAAAGAAATACAATTCCAACTTTTCCACCGTGCGTAACATCCTTTCAAGAGAAGGATATAAGTCTTTTTGTACCAGTAAACATCCGAATTGCTCCCTGAAACAAAATTTAGTGGCCAAAAAGCGAGCACGATTACTATACGAACGAGTTTTGACGAAATTTGATGGCTGTATTTTAATGGATGACGAAACATATGTCAAAATGGATTATAAACAAATCCCCGGACGAAAATGTTACCTGTCAACTGGCCGTGGGGATGTCCCTTTCAGGTATAAATTTGCTTTTGCTGATAAGTTTGCTCAGAAACTAATGATTTGGCAAGGAAACTGCAGTTGTGGCATTAAAACCAAGGTTTTCATCACATCTCACACAATGACGTCGAAGGTTTACATTAAAGAGTGTCTGAAAAAGCGGATTTTACCCTTCATTCGGCAACACAAGACCAACGTTATGTTTTGGCCGGATCTAGCCAGCTGCCACTACTCTAAGGGGTACTAGAATGGTATGCTGCAAACAATGTTAATTTCGTCGCCAAAGAGATTAATCCTCTGAATTGCCCTGAGTTCAGACCGATCGAAAAATATTGGGCAATTGTCAAACGAAAACTTCGAGGATGCGGAAATCCTCTTGTGCTGGAAGTCAAATCGGTGTTTGATCAATTGTTTTGAATAAATGACCCTAGGTGTAGTGGTATCATGGTAAATTTCTAACTGGAATACCCAATTAAAAATTTCCCCATGCACCCTTTTCGGTTTATTTTCAATAACTGTTAACCCCGCAGAAGATCCAGTTCTAACCACCATGACTAAAACGGGAGACCACACACTAACTTCACTGAATTTGTATCACTCTGCCTCCGTACCATGCACTCTGGTGGGTAAGTCGTCGCCATTATAACGGATCTCAATGACTTAATCACCTGGTTCAAATTTGGTCTACGATGTGTGAAAAAATTTGTAATTTGCTGTTAGTAGAGTTTTCCAATATTTCCGGTGTCCAACAGAGCAAATTGTCTGGGACCTCTTCTCTTTTCGTTATCTATTAATAAGTCAAAATTGCCTTGTGAACAGTGTTGGGGATGTTAGAATTCCATTAAAAGATTAGGAGATTGGTATTATTTCCTTCTACCCGCAATACGAAACCAATTGCTTAAAGGAAAAGTCGGTAGAGATGGACACAGTACCATTTTCTTAGCGTAACACACACATATGACGTGTTTGTTTGTTTACATTTATCTGCTGCTTATTTCTCTATTAATTTCAATCGACATAATTGTTCAAAACTGTTTGAATTCATTTTTACAACGCTCCAAACTACTCAGGTGAGTGAGACTATTGTTGGCAGCCCCTTTTTCTTCGGCAACTTTTCCATTTGAACTGCGTGTTAACCAGCTGTTCTATTATCAGCAACTCGAAAGCAGCCGCATTTTGTAGTGCGTATATTTCATTTAAAGAAAAATCTGTCATAAACGGATTGCACAGTCGTGAAAATGTAATCAGATTGAAGCTGTAAGACTAAGGAATCGCTTGAATACAATCAGCGAACTGTTTCGATGGGAAAATACAGTGAAATTTACGTTTAAATTTTGGTTGCCATAACAGTCAATGGGTGCAGAAGCCGACCATATTTGAAAAAAAAATTGACAGCTTGGACATTTTTAATATTGATGGACTGTAATACTAATATTCGTTTCGTAACATCAGAAGAGTAAAAAATTGGTTCGATTTTGGGGGCTGTCTTCACATCACCCAGCGTGTACTGTACTGCTCACTAGTACGATCCCAACTGAAACATTACTCCGAAGTTTGGTTTCAATTTTATACCTCTCACGTTAATGGCCACGAGTTCAAATCTCATCCCCGTATAAGTCCCGAATTACTCGTAAAAAAAAAATTACAAGAAGATCGTTCGCACAACTTAATCACCTGACCAAACCAATTTCCCTGTAATTCAAATCCTTTTTCAAAACCATTCACCCACTCAACCGCTTCGAGCAACAGACCATCCCCGCTTGCTGGTATTAGTAAATGCATCCCTTTGCAAAAGAGTCACTCTCCCTCTTCCTCTCTCTCTCTTTCTCTCTTTCTCGCGAAGAGCAACACCGCCATCCACCTAACTTTCGCTCTCACCAGGCCGGGCCACCTACAACGGACACAACACAACACGATATCGCACTATGGTCTACGTTGAGTAAGGTTGTGGCGTCGACTGGTTCCTACTCGAGTCTGACAGCCACCACCATCACCACCACCCCCTTCCGGGAGGGTGGCTGGCGTAGAAAAAAAAATAAGGCACGAAGCATACAGGAAGGCAGAATCCTGTATGTATGCAAGCGATTCGGTTGATACATAGAGGCAGGATGCAGCGCCGATGTGAATGAAGCTGTACTCCGACAGCCACTAGCAGAGTGCATCATGCGAATGATTGTCATCATTCGCATCGCATTGCCTATTGTGTGCGAAGCAAGCTGCTGCAATGTTTTCCCTATTTTCCGATGGGTGTTAGTTTCGGTGTTTAAACGGTTGTCTTCCATAGGATCTCAGATTAGCAGCAGCAGAAGATATTGTAAAATTTAGTGGTAGTAAGTTAATTTCTACTTGTGAAACCGGAAGTGAAATCCTTCGAAAAAATAGCAGATGTAACATTGTGAGTAGGTGCAGTGCGGATTGCATAAGCAGTGGCAAACGCAAATGTCCCACGGTTGCCTCTCTCTGTGTGTGGTATTTTTGATCCCACCCGTTAGTTGGTTGTGAATTGTGATAATCGTGCAATCCTTACAAGGCCCCCTCCTGCGGCGGAAGATTTGTGAGTGTGCTAGACATTAATTCTTTACACGACCTTTGGTATTTCACTTTCGTTTGCTGGAATCTGAAAACCTATGGAAAGAGCTGCATTCGGTTGTGTGTTTGCGTGCGATACCGCGACCCACTGTTGGAAAACTTACCTCGCCGTCGAGGAAATCGATAAATTACAAAATGTCTAAGCATATTTAGTGAAACGGTCCTGGGAAAACGTTCTGCCTGGAAAGGTCGGACGATGACGACGTGGTGTGGTGCATGCATACATGGCATCATCGCGTCATGCACTGCGCCTCTGAAAGGGAGGGAGACATCCAACACACTTTTGAATCAGTTGCATAATCCTTTCGAGCTGACCTTGATTTTCCCCAGTCTACTCATAGACTATCTCTCTCTCTCGCTTTCGCTCCGTCTCTGTCTCCTTCGCCTTCGGCTTCCGGCTCACTTTTTCGCATGTCCCTGACCACAACCTTTTCCAGGTCTTACCTTGAGACAACAAAGGATAGTGGAAAAAAAAACTTTCGAACCACCCCTTCATTGTCTTCATCGACATCAAAACCCACACCTTTACTAACGATTTACTTTCCTTCTCCGTCTACCTTGCAGCTAATCACCATGGCCGGAACGCAACCACCCCGGAGCGTGACGCCAAACGTCCAGCAGGACTACGACGTGACGCGTATGCGAGAGGAGGACTTTGAGCGGCTGGCCGTCTACATCGTGCCGGATGTGCCGTGCGAGAAGGGCATCCCCAGCCGGGCGGAGAAGACTCTGCCCCGCAGCCTGACGCTCAAACCGTCGTTGGTGCTATCGACGCCAACGGCGACGGTACGTAACATCAGCCAAACCCCCTCCTAAGATGACGAACGCAAAGCTAATGTACTTTTCAAAATGATCTTTTCTTTCCACGCCATGCAGACGGAAGGAGTATGGAGTACCGGAGTGATACCACGCGGTACTCGGTTTGGCCCGTTCGAGGGCGTCCGGACACCCAGCCATCCCAGTGACAAGCAGCTGTGGCGGTATTTCTGGAGGGTAAGTTGAGAGAGTTTTGAATTTCCTACGACTAGCGACTAACTCTGTCTGTGTCGGGCTTCGGTAACTGTTTCAGTTCCAGCTTATTTTCATTAATAACTAACGGGAGGGCCCTTCAATTACTGATGTAATGTACCAAATGACCAAGCCCAAATAACATTGGTGGTTTTATTATGGTCTTAAAGTCCAATCTAAGCTTTATACACCTCTTCATAACCACAATAAAGCCAAAATTGATATTTGGGAAGCTGGGGCTCATGTTCTTATTGCTAATTGGAAATCATTCCTGTCTGACACTTCAGATAATTTTACAATAGGGGAAATGGATGTAATGTCGGCCTAAATGCCCCTAATTTGGACCCATGCATAAATTCAGCAATCGACTAAATTTTCAACAGCGGCCAAAAATATCCATTAGTACCGCCCCAATGACGCGTTCATCTAGATAAAATTGATATAGCGATGGGCCCAATCTTTGATCCATAGGCCAACATTAGAGCCATTTCCCCTATATTGCAGGAAAAAGCAACTAGTTCTTTTTATTGACTTTTACTTCATCCTCTACGCTTTTTAGCACTTCTGGCTTTTCAGGCATTGTATACAAAGAATCTTACGTCAGTTTGTCAATAATGTTAGGTGAGACTGGGGCCTCCCTTAGCTCAGTCGGTAAAGGTGCAGCTACAAAGCAAGACCATGCTGGAGGAGGCTGGGTTCAATTCCCAGTCCGGTCTAGGAATTTTTCGGGTTGGAAAATTTCTCGACTTCCCTGGGCATAGAAGTATGATTGGACTTGCCACATAATCATATCAATGCAAAAATGGTACAGGCATCGAAAGCTCTCAATTAATAACTGTGGAAGTGCATCTAGAACACTAAGTTGAGAGCACGCAATAAGCTAATATGCGATATGCAATAAGCTTGAAATGCGAAGAAGAAGAAGAGGTGCGACCGATTAAGCAGTGTTTCTTTCTTTCTTCTTCTTGTTCGCATTTCAAGCTTATTGCTTATCGCATATTAGCTTATTGCGTGCTCTCAACTTAGTGTTGCAGATTCACTTCCACAGCTGGTAATTGAGAGCTTCAATGCCTGTTACCATTTACCAAAGTGCAGGAGGAAGGAATTCGTAAAATTTTCCAACCCAAAAAACTCCTAGATCAGACCGGGAATCGAACCCAGCCACCTCCAGCATGGTCTTGCTTTGTAGATGCGCCTTTGACGACTGAGTTAAGGGAGGCCCTGGTATTTCCAATTCAATTCAATGTTTTTATTGTTGCATGGTATTTTCAAAATTAAAAGAAAACTTTTTGAGATAAAATCAGAATTAATCAGGATTTCTGAGCAAGGATCAAGGTTTTTTTAGGAACAATCTACAAACGACATGTGGAGAGGGTGACTGTCACGTTGATTTCGTTAGTAATTTTGCTCATTTGAAGCTGTTTTTGGGGCTTTGGAGCACCACAAATTGATACACATGGTTTTTACAAGTCCAAGAGCAATCTAGAACGAGTTTGGCACTCCTTGCCAGTGAGCGTCTGGATTCACTTTGAAAATGATAAACAAATGTTGCGAGAATGCGACTGTTATGCAAAGGGGCTTGGAATTGAATCCTCAATCTTCTAATCAGAAAGCAGAAACGGTCACTACTAGGCCAACGATCTCCTTACATAACCAAAACCCGGAACAGGCAAACGTCAAAGTTGATCCAAAATACCAATATTTCCGTACCATTCGAACATCTACAGTGAAATTGATCCTGGGGCTGATCCCAATAGCGGCTGCTCTATAAGCAAAGACGTTATAAAATACTACTTCGACTGACGTTGAACGATCACCAGATCATTTGACCGCCCCACCATAACTCAATTATGTTTTTGATCCCGTATTAAGCGTACGTCAGATTTGACTGAGAATCGCTTTGTGTTTTATCTCATATCTTTCCGATCGAGTTCTCGCATAACCACCAACACGAAGGTGATTCGTCCGAGTAACAATAACATTTTGGACCACACGATCATTGGTACTGAGCTTACCAAATCAATACCGAACTATACTATGGATTGTGACCTAAGCGAGCAACGCTATATTCAAACAGTATTCCAAAAACAAAGAGTAAGTTCAATCGAACTTACAAAAGCTATTGCAAACTACAGGCTAGTAGATGAAACTGCTCTTCTGCTCAATCTTTTCTTGAATCACATTATGTGACTGAGAAGAGTGGGATGATCTTCTGCAGTCATTCTCGGAGGAATTGTTAACAGGATGCATCAGTTTTCGTGTCCCAGATTATCGCCAAGACTCTTTCGACAATGGAGCTCTTGTATTTGAAGTGAATACGAATTCCTCCAAGTTGCTCACTTTCTTATATGGAACCCACCTCGTTAGTTAACATACTGCAGCTCTCTGACCAGGTTGACCTCCTTCGCAACGGTATCAGCGCTGTCGTAGTAATAAGCTACGTAATACCAGTTCGTGATTGAAAATGCTGCTTTCGGGAGAATTCTCCAGCGTTCAAGTTTTTTTTATAAACTGTGAGGAGCACGCGGAACAGGTTCCGAAACAGGAAGCGTAGCGCATTCTTGTCCTCTTTCCTCATTTTAATGTGATGGTTCATATCGCCACTCCCGAAAGTGACAGTAGACCTACAGGAGACAAACCAACATATCTTTACCTTTCAGCAGTTCCTAATTCAGCGATTGCTGCGGCGTGTCACACAAGACGCACTTTTCCGGATTTTCGTGGATTCTCCACAAAGTTGAGTGTATGATACCACACCGTTGCAATCAGGAAAATCTTTCTCGTCCTTCCGCCACAGCAGCCCAGTCTCGAAGCGATCGCCCAAGCGGATAGTGGTCGTTCGCAGTATATCTCGAACTCGATGATCTTCGCCTGATTCTGGAACGCCAACCGGAGTTACACCCAGACTTGTGGTTGGTGACTCCTTCCGTCGTGTGGAAGTTGACGTGCTCCATCGACGACGGGCTCTGCTTCTCAGGCCCATGCGGAGCAAACACATGAATGCTGTCCTGGCCGATCATGATCTCTACATCCGGTACTGGTAGACCACACAGATGAGAGTATCGCTTACGGATCTATTGGAACCGCATTTCCTGTTTCGGGAGTACCGGTAGTATGAGTATTTTGTTCGAGCTCCTCGCTGACATCGTCAAATTGTCCCGTATGGATGCATCCTCGTACCTCTTCATATTGCTGGTCCATGATACGATTAACGGTTCGGATGTCCCCTTTTCTTTGAGTTGGTTAGCGACGGTGTCTTCGATCAGTGTTACCTAGAAACCTTCGTCTAAGAATGCCAGAGTGTCCACTAACTGGTCTCCTACCGAAAGCGTTACTGGCAGCATGCGGAAAATGACCGACCGATTCAAACGACTGTGGTCATTACACTGCACTTCCACAAATAGGCAGTTGCGAACGATGACACTCCTGGCAATCTCCAACACTGCAACGCAACTTGAAACTGCACCACAATCGAACGGTGACCCTCAGCTTCTTACAGTTTATAGTTCGGTGACAGTTTGTCCACCAGTTCCTGGACCAACCCGTCAATTGGCGTGCAGCAATTTGGTCATGCATCAACCACCCGAGTGGCACACTTTCATCACAATAAGTTACAGCAACTTGTTTATGACTGAAATAAGTCGTATATAAGTTTCTACAATTGATTTGTGACAAGCGTGCTACTAGGGCATTGCCGGCCCGTGTGACCTTTGTTCTCTCTGACTTGGTAGGGCTGCCGCTGGTGGATTCTTATCAGATCTCTCATCTGCTTCTGCTTCTTCTTCGTTTCTCTGCTCGGCGCTAATTTCTTCCTCCAACAGGGCTCTTAATATCTCCACCATTTGGGACCACTTCTTCTTGATCGGTGGCTTTGCTGCTTTCGTCAGTGTGATTTGGAATATGCTCCTCGGGAATCACCTTTCTCTTTCGTGGCCGGTCTCTTGCAACCAATTCTTCACCTTTGCTTCAGTTGCGGTTTACGATTGCTCACCTTCTTCAAGACCACCGCCCAAAGCATCATTCTCGTCCTTCAACTTATTCGCAGTCTTCTTTTTGGCAATCTGAAACTGCTCACGTAGTGCGTGCTGCTTTCGCAGAAACTTATCTTAAATAGCTAGTCAACGCTTCAGCAGTTACCTTTCTTGGAACGTCTGCTGCTCCTGTAGCGCGTGTTCCTTTCGAAGCTCCATTTCCATCACCCTCACCAAGCTCTCTTTCTTCCTCCTGTTCTTTCTCTTTCGCTGCCTGCTTCTCTCCCAGCTGTTCAATCGCCGAAACTATACTAGCATCACTTTTCGACTTCGGTTTTGACTTCGGCTTTAGAACCTGCAGCAGGTTCACTGAAAATATGTTTTCGTTAATTCTCTTACGCTCGATTCGTAAAAATGGGTTTCGTAGATAAAACACATTTTCCGTTAATTGTACGAAAAATTCGTACAGGAGATTCGTTCCTTCAGAGATATGTACATATGTACTGCGAATATGCATAAAATGACTTTCAATATCTACCGGTTTGTTTTTTATGTTTACACCAAAGGCAAACTCGACGATTTCACCGATCGCATTCCGAACCAGATCTTCTAGGCATTTGACCAACCCTCGTTGCAGGTTATCCGATACGGTCGTCTTGACAAAACCACAAGCCGCAAGAGTTTTGTTAGTTTGATTGGATTCATGGTGCAGAAAATACTTACAGATATTCGAAATGTGGCATGTTACAATCCACGGACTTATTGGGCTTTTCATTGTAGTAAACAAAGTATTCATCCTTAGCAACGATTGGCAAAACGTCAACGCTCGAAAGTGATAACATTTTATATCATTTGTTTAGTATTCTACTCGTCAACGTGCACCCTAACGTGCCGAACAGTGTGCCATGCTGTGTTTCGGAAAAGTGTGCAGAGTTTATTACCCCTTGCTGTTTCCACAAACTATGAAGCTCTTATTAATTAGCCCACTACAATTAAACATGCACTGTAAAAAGTTGTCACATCTAATCCAAATGCTCTTGCACTTGACTCAGTCTGTTATGCGGCACTACGAATCGAAGTGATTTATCATTGATTTGCAAGTTATTTGCATTTTGAAACAAAGTGATTTGTCGTTGAAAAATATGTACTGTATAACATCTTTAAATCGAAATGATTATCATTTGAATTGGCACTCGTCTTGCTTCTATTAAAAGCCTGGCTATGTTGTTCAATATTACTTGGAATCATGTGATCTGGGTAGTAATATGATATGGTCATATTCTGAATAACATATAACAAGGCTTGCAGTATGAACAAGGCTATATATTTATCAAAACCCATTCTCAGCAAAAATTTAATCCAAGGATAAATTATTTAAACCTAATCTACCACAGATTGTTAATATCAGTATGGTTGACATTTCGAGTTCAAAGCACAGCATATCAACAACGATATGCAATACAATCTAAAATGAAGTGATTTGCTGTTGATTTCATCGTGCTTCGGTATGATCTATTCCAAGGAATTTGCATATCGAATTGCAATGTTTGGCAAGTTGTGCAAATTCAACAGCAAATCACTTTACATGATCATGATGTTTCTTACCGTGTGCAAATGATAAATCTAGCGTTAAGAATCATAAGGGCCTAACTGCGATTATCGATTCTGTTCATCGATTTTCTCTCTGGATTACTACAGTTAAGTGATCCAATTTCCCGAAATTGTTTCAATACAATGCTATAAAAGATTGAATTGGCTTGCAAAAGTAACAACAAACGAATGGAGATATGTTAATTCAGCCTAGTTATTAACAAAAGAGAAAATCGATTAAAATAATCGATCATCGCAGTTAGACCCTTATGATTCTGAACGCTAGAAAAAAGCTATAAATGCAAGGTTTTACTCCGCGTAGGTCGTTCATTTACAATTGGTATAACCTAAAAGGATGTCAATCTGTTGATTAGAACAATCGTAGCAGGCAGTTGCAATAAGTGTGAGATTATCCACGTGCGCCGTTTAAAAACACGTACCTCAAGTTTGAGTGTATTGATATGAAAACTTCAACTGTCACTGGAAAGTTAAATCACTGATCAACCATATCCATTCCAAATAATTCTTTGCTGCTAGACTGCTTGGAGAATTTACTTATTCTCGTTAATCTAAGCAGCGTCCGCACTTCTATAAGCAATTATGGTCGGTTTGTTTGTTTAAATTTATGTGCTGCTTGCTATTCTATCCATTCTAATCGACAGAATTTTATAAAACGTTTTGAAAACGTTTTTACAACACTCCAAACTTCTCAGGTGAGTGTGACCATTGTCGACTGCCTCTTTTTCTTCGGCAACCTTTCCATGTGAACTACGTGTTAACCAGCTGTTCTATTATCGGCAACGCAAAAAATGCAATATTTTGAAGTGCATCATTTGAAGAAAAACCTGACATTACTGGTTCACTCAGTCGTAAAAATGTAATCATATTGCAGCTGAAAGTCTAAAGAATCGTTTAAATCTTTGGTGAGAAAATACAGCGAGATGAACGTTTTAATTTTGGTTGCCGAAAGCTGTCAATGGGTACCGAAGCCATCATAGCCCTATATGAAAACAAAATTGGTGTACGAGTTGATCCGAGATGTTGGCTTGCATCAAGAAGTGATAAACGCAGCGTGGATCCTGATCGTTGGCTTCTTATGATATGGGGAGAATGTCACAATAGGCTTAGGATAGAAGCGATAAGACAGTAAGTGATCACCGCACGTGGTTTTGACTAAAGCTTCCGTGGAAAATAACTTCACAAACTTGATCCCCCCGTTGGTTACTCGCTATTTGGAGCAGACGGAAGTTAATGTTATGGAGAAATATGCGTCAGATTGTAGAACACATATGTTTCTGGTACTGTTTCTTTTGATATGAAGTTCGAAGCTCAGTTAGGGGACACTTGCTTGCCCAAGGTTTAAACACACTTAAACCTGATATGTGAATATGAAAAAAAAACTCTCTTTGTGGAGACCTGATTCCCCAGAATGTTCACACATTCAACCTTAGGATAGGGTAGAGCGCTACTTCGTCGTAATCGCCCATTTCTGTTCTATCGATTAGAAAAGATCAATAATATCAATGATTTCACCGAGCACAAATCAATAATAGGTTTATTCCGATGCTTTAGTTCATTAGCTACAACATAAATCCTGTTAGAGCGCATTGTATGAATATTTACGCTCATTGTTCTCAAAACAAAAGAAGCGCTCCTAGCGTATCCCCTTTTTCTACGTTTATCCGTAGGGCAAAGAAAATCTAATGGCGTTCCAATACGTTAGGACGGGATTGAAACTCGTAGAACGAATTTAGAATCAAGAAGCAGTATTAGATTTTAAACAATATCTAACAATTTGTGACTCTTTATGAAATCCAACGTATGGAAGGGAGAATAAATTTAGAAGTCATATTTGATAGAAATATTCCATTTTTTGTTTGAACTCGTTCAGAAAAGATAGGTAAAGTGCGGGTTGTGCTTAGTAGGACGGATATTAGATCAAAAACACTACGTGTAGAACATAATATTCTAATTCATATCATAAAGGGAGGCTCAAGTGTCCTCCAATTCATAGAATTGAGTTTGTTTTAAAAATCATCTTTCAGAAATAACGTATTTATAGGGATTCATACATAATGTTGGAGCCTTTTGAGTATTTACAATCTTACAAAAGATATTTCTTTGGGAAGAATCTGGAACTTATAGGAATGTCGTCTATGGCTGATAGGGTGTCTCAGAATGTCAAGGCACGATTTCAAAAAACGATAACTTATCTCTGTTTACAGCAAATTCGATTTTTTTTTTCGTATTCATGTTCTCCATAGTATTCTCTTACAGTTAAACATAGAAAATCCAATATCCGATCAGTTGTAAGCCAAGGAGCGGATTTTTGATCTCACGCTATTCATTGGCTTCAGCACAGATTCCTCTCCAACAATTTTTGATACTTTTTCGCAGTCTTAAGCAAACTTTGTAACGGAATCCGCTGGCTTTACATGTTTCTGCTAATATGCTTTGGCCAGGGCCCAAAACGTTTCGATTGAACTGACCTGGGGACAGTTTGCACCATTGATTGATTTTTGTTTAAGCTCATTCTGTTTAGTAAATAACTTCTTCTTCTTCTTCTTCTTCTTCTTCTTCTTCTTCTTCGCATTTCAAGCTTATAGCTCATCGCATATTAGCCTAATGCGTGCTCTCAACTTAGTGTTCTAAGAGCACTTCCACAGCTGTTAATTCGTATAATTGCGTGACCTACACACTTAGAAATAACTACTTTTACACGAGACGTAATCCATATTGGACGTAAATCAAAGAACGTAAACAAACATTTCATGTAAAATTAAGTGTTCTCAAACCGAAACATCAGCTTGTCGACGAAGAGAACGTATGATTGAATTGATTTTCACGTCTCTTTCAACTGATTCTTATGTCAAAAGGCCCGCTTACATGTGTCGGTCTCAGGGAACCGAAATTTACATGACTTTTTAATAGTGTGTAATAATTCCTAATTCGAACCGGGAATCGAACCCAGAAGTCTCCAGCATGGTCTTGCTTTTTAGCTGCGCCTTTACCGATTGGGCTCAGGGGGGTTTAGTAAATAAGGAATATATGAATTCTAGATTTTTTTACAATTCTGGAATTTCATTGTGCAACACAACAATAGCTGACTCATTTCCACGGCTACTTCCATTAAACTTGATGATCGCGACAATCTCATAGCTAATCATGAAAATATTCCCATTCGCCATAAACATCATATTTACGCAACCAAAAAGACCTCCGAATTTCTTCGACTATAATGGTGACAACGGTGACTCCCACCCTTTTGTGTACAGGACTAAAAACAACCCGGACCTAGCGCAATGGAACACTTCTTGTTCCATCCTGAGCCGAAAGTTGCTTCGACTTTCGACTGGGGGGGTTGAGGCATTGCTTTTCCACTCCACCCTCTGAGTGTGTCTCGAAATATTCTCCCTCTCTTTTGTGCTTGAATCGAAGCCAAAATTCCGGCTTCCACTCATTTCACTCGTTTGGTGGGGTGCAACTCATCGCTGAGTTCCACCCAAATTTCCCTTCAGCATATAAGCTGCTGAAATTGATGGCCTTCGTCAAATCCCGTTCATCAATTTTTCTTTAAACTGCGGAAAGATGGATGGCCATCCTCCGTTACTAGCATCATTTTCACAACCATTTCAGACGCCTTTGTGATTTCCAAATGATGGCGCTTCCTTTGTTGATGGAGAAGCCCCTCAAAGTCACACAAAGAATGGCTATAAACGGGGGTTGCCTGCCTGCCTGCCTTACTGTCTGGTCCGAACCACCCAACGGCTGACTGTCTGTCGGTCTGTCCTTGGGTGTCTGCTCATTATTGCATGCAATTCCCTCAACTCCCCCAACGAGCGGGAGGGCGGAAAAGGATTTTAATTGCGTCACAATCCAAACGAATGGCTAGGCGATGTCAAGGATACAAGCGATTGCGGGCGAGACTGTCGTAAATTAGAGCACTTCGATCGGGGGGTCTTTGTTTACTTGTTTCTTTTTAATGGGGGTAGAATAAGGGACAGCTTACTAATATCGAAACGACTAACCCCCGTCCTGGACTTGGTATCGCTTTTACTAATCATGACAATTGTATGCTCTTTTCTCTCTTTCATATACTCTGCCCTCTCCTCCCTTCCGCCAAAACTGTATATATCCTATCAACCTGGAACCTACCTACCTACCACCTCAAAAGGTGCAAGAGCTGCGACACGTTTCCTATGGGAATATCAAGGTATCTATCGAAGCATTGCTACTGCTGCTCCTCGAACGCTCGAAGACTTCGTTCAAATGACTCAACGATCACAATTCTCCCCTTCTTCTACTTCTCCCGCAGATATTCAAAGACAGCGACTTCTACTACCTGGACGGCTCCGATCCAGCCCAATCGAACTGGATGCGATACGTCGCATCGGCGTACAGCTTTTCGGTGATGAACCTGGTCGCCTGTCAACACCAGGAGCACATCTACTTCTACACAATCCGTGACATTATGCCCAACGAAGAGCTGATGGTTTGGTACTGTCGGGACTTTGCCAAGCGGCTCGGCTATGACATCGATCCGGAGCGGGCGACCTACTCGATCTGTCGGGAGGAAACGCTCAAGAAGACCTATGCAACAATCGCCAAGACACCGGTACCGACCGACGTGGCCTTCAATCACGTCAAGCACGTGATGGGTCTCGGTATGTACATGCCAGCGATTCGGAATGCCCCGACGCCAAGCCCCTCGCCACCGGTCGCTACGTCCAGTACCACGACAGTTGTAGTTCCTTCCAAGCATCAGATCCACCAGACGGTGCTGCGAGAACCGAGGAGTTCGGTTGAACACCACCGGGATCGATCACCAATCAGGATCATGATCCGGGAACAGAGCCCACTGAGGGAAAGTGCAAAAGAGGTCGATGCCAATTCGCCGGTCTCGCAGGTCAGCAAGGAAGCCCACTACGAGCATCAACTGACGCCGAACGATGGATCGGTAAGGTCTGATGAGGGATACCACAGCAATGGGTACCACGAGGATGCGTTTACACCACCGGAGGACTCGAGTGACAGTGAGAGTGAGCACAATTACGTGCTGGATTGCTCGAAAAAGGCAATCGAACCGAAAGAGACCAGTGTCAGCCCGAAGGTTGAGGTTTGTGATAAGAACGAATACCGGAAGGTCAAAATGAAAATGCCATTGAAGTATGAGTTTAAGAACAATAAAAACTTCAAAACGCCTAGTGATAAGGAGGATGTGGTGAAGCAAGAAGTGATCAGTACGATAACGGAGGTTACTCCGGCTACCAGCACGGTGATTGTGGTGGATACCACTCCGGAAACGACGATCGTACCTCTGACCAAAACGTATTACGAAGCGGAGACCTCGACGTCTCCGGCGACCTACATTCGATATTCTCCGCCAAGTTCTAGTATTTTGGAAACGATCCTCACTGTTGGCCGACCACCGGTAGATGATCCACACCGGCGACAACCGAATGCCACACCTCCTCCAACATCCCCAACAGAGATGGCCTATTCGTACAAAAAATCTCACCGATATGGCACCGCTTGCAGTCCAGACTCGAGCTCTCAGAACGCTGAGCGTGAAGTGATCGGTGACAGCGGTCCCCAGGTCATACAAGAAGCCAAGCTCGTCAACATTGATCACCGTGAATCTCAATCACCAACGATTGTCTATAGTAGCGAGCATCAACCACAGTCGACGCAATCACCGGGACCTTATGAACCATCTTCGCTCGGTTACACCATCTATCCCTCGCCGAACAGTACCGTCATCAACAACGCATCCAGTTCAACCTACTCGCCACCACTGAATGGTGGCCACTACGAGAGACTGACAACGCACACAATCCAATCCCCCCATGGATTCGTGCAACTCCAAGCTAAGGGACAACTCCCGCTGGGGCATCCACTGATGCAACCACTTCCCCCGCTAACGCACATGTCGTCTCCCGGGCGATGTTCCCCGCCCAGCAGTCTTAGCCCGGATGGTTGCTCCTACTCCAGAAGTGGCAGCCCGATGAGCCCTGGAAGCCCCGGGTCCCGAGGCTATCGAAGTCTGCCATACCCGCTACGCAAACGGGACGGTAAAATGCACTACGAGTGCAATGTCTGTAGTAAGACCTTTGGGCAGCTTTCCAACCTCAAGGTTCACCTGAGAACCCACTCCGGCGAAAGGCCGTTCAAGTGCAACGTCTGTACCAAATCCTTCACCCAGCTTGCCCACCTACAGAAGCACCACCTGGTGCACACTGGCGAGAAACCGCACCAATGTGATATCTGCAAGAAGCGATTCTCCTCCACGTCGAACCTGAAAACCCATCTGAGGCTACACAGCGGCCAGAAGCCCTACGCATGCGATCTGTGCCCGCAAAAGTTTACCCAGTTTGTGCACCTGAAGCTGCACAAGCGACTCCACACCAACGATCGGCCGTACGTATGCCAAGGTTGTGATAAGAAGTACATCAGTGCTTCCGGACTGCGAACCCACTGGAAGACGACGAGCTGCAAGCCAAATAACCTGGAGGAGGAGATGGCGCTGGCCGCTGCTGCCACTTCCGAGTGTATAGGTAACTTCCGGTCACTGGAAAATGTCTTAACTCGATTCTCACCACCTTCCGTTTCCTTACAGATAAAGATCAACCGGATAGCAATGACCCTCGCGACTACTATGACATGCATCCAGCCTCCCCGGTTGCACCCCATCAGCTGAGGCACCTCGTCGGTCACAGCTCTCCAACCCTGCTTGGAATGTCCCCGCCATCTCACCCCGGTCAGCAGCAGCAACAGCACCCCAGCCATCTGATCCCGGTCCATCCGGGATCGGATGCCATCATCCAAAAAGTCGGCAAATGCAGCCCTTCCTCCACCTCGTCCAACAACAACAATCCGACCATGTTGAACGGCAACATGCACTACCTGAGCGGTCCCCTTCCACCTCAGGGGCCGCATCCGCACCTACATCACCCGCATCATCATCAACCGCACCACCAGCAACCGCAGATCAGTGTCGTGAGTCACCACAGTATTGCTCACCACGGTCCGCAGTCCACCGCGGGACCAACTGGTTCCAGTGCTGGTGGCCCGGATCCGACCAGTCGGCCTAGCGTGATCGAGTCCAATCAACCGATGATCATCGAGTGCACGTAGCTTCCGCTGCAAATGGGCCCGGGACCACCACCCACTCAGCGGCAGGACAGCGTCATTCGGGGGGTGATCAGTACTTGAATACGCATCACCCCTCCCAGACGAAAGTTGTTGTTGTTGCAAAAAAAAAACAATCCAGTGGAGTCAGTGAAAATGATCTTGATCGTTCGTTTTTCGTCGATCGTGCCGCGCGTCGCGTAAGATTTAAGGAATGAACATCTGTGAATACTAGTTTTGTAAGGAAAATACTGAACACACACACACACACAGCTAGCTGCTAAGAGGAATATAAATTTATATATTTATTTTTTACTATTATCAGCGCGAAAAAGATAAGAAACAAATCATTAGGGAAGAGAAGCGGGAGAAGAAGAAAACAGCAAAAAACAAGGAAAAGCATAATGTTAAGTGTTCTTAAGGTTAACCTAGCTATAGGCAGAAATCGGGAAATTTGTCATTTTTCTTGGAATCGAATGAAGGGGTTTTTTTTTCATAAACTCAATATCTCAATTTTCAGCAGCCAAACAAGTGTGTAAATATAGATCGTTAAGCAAATGGCTGGCGGAAATTGACCCCCGGAAATGAACTGATTGGCAATCATCGCTTAAATTTATGTTTTACTTGAGAAGTTTTTTTTTTTTTTGTTTGTTTCGTCTTTAGTTTATAGTTGAGTGTATTGGCTGAGATTGGTCACCGTTGGCGTGAGCGGGGCGGAATCCGAGGGTGAATTTTTAGTTAATACGAACAACAGACTGATATTTTTTTCCTTATTAAAGGTTAATAAAGCAAAGTTTTGTAGTGAACACGAGTTTTGTGGAAATCTTTCAAAGAACTCATTCGTTTGGTTTGTGTTGGGTTGAGATTTTTGTTTGTAGTTGCTAGGAACGAATTAAAGGAAATTACGGATTGCTAAGGTAGACTAAGTTGCTGGCAGTGCGATTGTGAGGGAAGCGGTTTCAAGAAGTGTAGTTCGAAGTGACGACGATGGTGATACCAATGGGAACAGTGTACTCGGGAATGCACTGAAAGCAGATCGTAGCAGCTTTCAATTAGTTGTTCAGTGAATAATGTTGGAGAGTTGAGAACGGTTACACCCTTTTGATTTGATTTGTTGATCATTAAAGGCCATTTGCGTTGCTGGTACGTTTGCGTGGGGTGAAAAGAAAAACGAAGATCCTTAGTCCATAAGTGGAATTAATTTAACAGCCTAAGCTTTCGATATTCAATACCATAATAAGACGCAACCTTCACCGACCACTGTGTTGAGAGGTAACAGTAACGAGTTAACGAGTCATCACTAGATGGTAATTTATCATATCGTATGCATCACATTTGTACACTTACTCTTGGAATCTACGTTCAGAAACGGTCTGACTGTATAAGACATTTAAAATTATTACACATTTTACGTTCTATAGAACAACATTAAGTGACAAATTTTAACTTTTGGTAGGCGGTAATGAGCATGAACATGATTGGTAGCCCGTTCACTACATTATTGCACAGAGAACCAATAGATGGCGCATGCGTCTAGCGTTCATCTTCATGGGCTGTTTACACGCAGGCTAGTTCACTAGCTCCACGAATTTCAGTTAAAATTTCATGCTGGTAGATACTGACGACCTGTTTACATTACACTGGTTAATTTTAAGTACAGTTCTAATACACTAGTGCTAGTGAACCAGCGTATATGTAAACACCACATCAACGTGCAAATCCTAGTAGGGGAAAGGCACCTATTTCGGCTATCTGTCGACGATATTTCACGGTTTTTACAAGTTGAGCAGTTCCATTCGAAATGATGAATCAGAAAAACTCGACCTCTCTGATTTGCATAAAACTCATTCAACAATCATTCACATTTTTGCAAAATTTCGGCCATTTTGGACATTTAATTTTTTTTTTAAATGGCTTTTTTGTCAATTTTCAATCAATTGTATCACGAAAACGTCACTTCTGATCGACATAACGTCTGAGAGAAAATAGTAAAGAAAAATAATGTCGTATTGAAAATATTCACGGTATTTATTTTTTTGTAATTTGGAGTCAAAACTCCAAAAAAGTATTATAAACTCAAATATTTTTGTTAAAAAAAACAAGCAAACATCTGGCATATGTAAACCCATGGAAACTTGAAAATTGGCATAAATCGTAGAACAAGAACTAATTGGTAATTTTTTTAACTTTTTGATAATACGCTTTTTTATGTAACTTCTACACAGGAATCAATTTTTGAGACATTCTCAATCATATTCTGTAAACAAATTATATAAAAATCATGCTAATAAGAAGTTTAGAAATATTACCAAAAGTTGACATTCTGCGATTTTTGTAAATTTGCAAGAGTCCATTGTTTCAACAATTCCTAAAGTTTGAATTTTTCATGAACTTTTAGAAAAATTAAAAATTGAAGCATACTTGTTGAGATATTTGAGCTGATCCCATTTTTTACTCAAATTTACTAAAAAATTACCTCGTATATTTTCCCCAGAATGAATTTACTCTTCTCAAAAACTTTGTCTCAGACGTCATTTCGATCAGAAGTGACGTTTTGGAGCGACAATTTACTGACAAATTTCCAAGACGCCATTTTGAAAAAAATGCCCCGATTTATGCAAAAATGTGAATGATTGCCCATAACAAACAAGCAATACAAAGTTTAATGCAAATCGGAGAAGGTCAAGACAAAAAAGATGTGTTTAGATTTTTGTTTCAAATTTTATTCGCCCAAAAAACATAGTCAGATTGTGGTTTTTTTCATTTTTCTGAGGTATGGCCCAAATAGGAATCTATGGCCAAAACTGGGGCACTTACTATAAACCAATATATTTTTGTGTAATACCGGCGTTGGCCACGTCTAAATACAGCATGAATAGGGAGAGGAAATATGGGGAAGGAAAATGTTGGCATGAAACTCGCTTTTTTGGAAGCCGAGAAGTTCTCTGCACTTCCACGAGCATCACATGAAGAAGTGAGAGCAGATACTAGGCAATGAATTGTGGTTCTCAGAATTTCGTAAAAATTGGTAGTTTTGTGCCTTATCGCAAAATATTGGACCGAATTTTTTTATATATTGTCATTAGGGTGACCATTTCAATGTTTCAGCGGTGCAAAAAAATTTTTTTTATCAAAAATAACTTTTTTCAAATTTTTTAAGTATTGAACCTCTGGGTCGATTTCAAAAACCAAAATATTTTTATATATTATTATTTACCTTTCCATATACTCAACTTATTGTGACGTTAATTGTGCATTTTCTTTGGCAAACAGTAATTTTCTTGGGCGACTTAAAGAAACTGATGAGTATTGACCCAAACAATTCCTCCGTAGGTGACCCAGTTTTCTTTGCTACTATACGCAGAGTGGTCGAGGATACGAATATGTGCGAAGCACTATACTCCTTAACTTCACCGTCTTTGAGCTCGTCACTGAAACCTTGCTTATATTTGGCGTGATTACTGCTGCCATCACATACCCCTATCACATACCCACTTGTAGATAACGGTTAGCTCATAGCTACCATAGAATTGTTGCAGTTTTTCAACAGACACCTGACTGCTTATTAAGCGGGTAGTAATGTGGTCCAGAAGTTCTTGAAGATTAACTACTGCCACGGTTCGCGAAATAGATATTCCTGTTTAAGGCATACGTGTAATTACAGTTTAATTCATCCTATAGTCCCTTTTAAAATTTACCAGATGGATAATACATTTCCTTTGCTTCGAGAATTTTTCCATAAGCTGGATACATATCTGCGCCGTTTTGAAGAGTACTGAGTTTCCCTTGAACTTGGTGCTTTCATGATGTTCTCTACAATCTCGGCATTCTTCTTTCCTGTTACGTAAAACAAGGTAAAGCATTTGACATCAATTTCAACTATCATCAAGCTTAATACCTGGCGGTTCAACACTAGATGCTGCGGCAAACATCAGTTCCTTTGGAGAAAAATGCTCCCACAATTCACGCGTCCTATTTGTGCTCGACTATGAGAACGTTTTCTTGGGGCGACCCTCGAGACGTTCAGCGTCTCAAACATTAGTTTTCTCTTCAACCAGTTCGAACAGAGTTTTTGAAATATTGTCCAAAGACGGCTGCTTTTCCTCCACCAATTGTTGAACTTGGCAATGAAATCGCTTTTTTTTCGCTTCCGTGATATTCAACACACTAGCAGATTTTTTTTAACTTGATCCAACAGCTCGGTCACAACTTTCTCTTTCATTAATGCTCAAAACACAGTCAATCAATTAGGATTTTTCTTGTTTTTGAAATATTCTTCAATCATCATCATTAGTGTACACATACATTCACGCACAAGCTATCCGAAAATTTAAAGCAAGTATTTCATGATTTTACATCGTATATTTTCTGGGTAAAACACCATCAATGCATTAACTTACTTGTGTTCTTCGTAGCATTCCACAATTTCACGTAATCGAATACACAAAATGAATAAAAACTGGAGGTCAAATCTCTTGGTGTTCAAAATAAAACACCAAGAAAATCACTTCGACTCCAGTTCTTTGCTAGCGAACGTAAAAGAATAATTGAACAAGCGTTGCCAGATGTATTACGTCTAGCAGTCGACATAAGTTTACTAAAACATGCAAATACTAAGTTTGAACCAATAACTTAGATGAGTGGATGATTTTAATGGTGAATGAATATCAAACACTGAATAAATAAAACTAAAAGGACCTTTTTTGGAACATAAACGTTCCAATTGCAAAGGTTAAAAAGATTGAATTAAACACAAAAAGGGAAGATGGCAGCATTGCATGTAGCCTGTTATTGGCTTTCCCGCTCAAGGGTGTAAACAAAATGCCATACAGCGTTGTCTGGCAGTGTGAATGTTTTATCTACGACATTCTTATACGCTTGCATGTGTGACGTCACATTTGCTGTTGTTAACCAGCTCCTTGTTTACAATGAAAATTCATGTAAATACTTATGACTAATACTGAATAATAATACTGAAAAATACTGAATAATGAAAACTTCGACTGATTCACAACTGGCGAAACTAGAGTGTATCGATACTACAAGGCTGGATACTAGAGATTCGATTGAAATTCCCTTCGTCAGATTATTTTCGGTTAACGGTCCGCAGTATTGAAGGTCTTGAATATTGCTAGTTCACAGAAATCTTAGCATTCATTGATTTTTCAGAAACAATAAAAAGATACAACCGCAGCTGTCAAACATTCCATACACTGACACAAAAACCTATTATTAAATTAATTGTAGACTCCGAACTTTTATAAAATCCAGATCTAGTCTGAATAAATTCTTCTGAGACACGTTCTGGCACAGGTTCGGGCATATTTGACACTAATAAGTAATCACAACCGGATCAATTTCTGACCTTTCAAGAGAGGTTCTGCGGATATCAAAGAACTCTGTTGGTTCTGAATATCAATCCTTCTACCATGACACATATTTCGGACCCGTTTAAGGACAAAATGAACTGTTTTCCGTTGACCCGCTAGATTGCTTTGTTAACGGCTTCGATTATAGCTGAAACGCTCAAGGATCGCTATAAAAACATCCCTAATTTAACTAGATTGCAGGCTAGAATGCAGGATGAATTTTCGGTATATTTTTAGGCATGATTGGGTTGAACGGCGGCTGTATTGCCAGCTCGATTATCGACTGCATCATTTTATACAAACATATTTTAAATCTTTATTTTCTCCTATCTAAATGATGCAAATCAGGGATGTAACGCTATAAATCCGCACACAAACTTCATTTATCTACGATTTTTAAATCCGTAATTTCAATAGTTTTATTGATGTTTTGTGATGCT